TTCGTCATCGCCAAGGTCGCTTCGAATTCGTATTCTATACTTGCTGTGGCGTCTTTGTGATTTTTTTGAAGAAAATTTACCGGATTTTAATCTCGGGGGCCCTGCGGTACCCTATTCGGTCCTGCTGGCTGCTAAGTTTTGGCTGCCAACTTCAGCTTCATTGTTTTTATCGGGAAACTTGTACCCTTCCAAATAAAGTCTAAACTTTTGAATGGCCCACACCACGGCCAAGCACTCCTGTTTCGTTACCGAATATCTCCTCTCGGGATCCGACAATACGCGACTGGCATACGCTATTACACGTTCCTCGCCCTCTAATTTTTGCGTTAGGACAGCTCCCAACCCAACTGAGCTCGCGTCAGCCTGTAGCACAAACGGCTCCTCCAAAACGACTCAATTACGCGGAGCACATTGCCGTTTCCCAAAATCGAATCTTCACAATACCGTACTCACGCGATTCTACACCACGATACGGTCAGCAATATGGCACTCTATAACGGTCCCGCTCTCGGAACGGGACGCACGCGTGACTCTAATTACGCGAGGACTTCAATTACGCGTTGAATCGAATCACGCCTCAAACGCGCGTAGACTGTCGGCGGCCGCGTACCCAAATTCCCGAGACGGGCAAGCGTTTTATTTCTTGACCAGGCCCTCCCGCGGTATTTCTTTCGATTAATTACAATCTCACAACTCACAAGCCTCGCGACACAGCGCGACTCCCGGGAAGGCCTCGGTATTGCGACGATCTTACTTGTACGTGGCCTTACAAGATAGTGTTCGCTCGTCGGCAGCCGGTCGTCCACGATGGCAGGGGATGGTTTCTTGCTCGCAAGCTCGCACGACAGTGCCGATCTTCCGGCTTGGCGGATTGTTCCGCCCCAGGCTCCTTTTTTCGCGCATACGCATTGATGCAGCAGAAAAGAAAGCAGCGAAATGATATGCAGCAGTAAAATGTTATGAGCGCATATTTTAGCGGTTGACGCATTGACGGACAGGGCGGACAGGGCGGAGTCCGGTTTGTACGGTGAAATATTGGTCAATACTGCTAACTTTAACCGTCGGTTAAGTGGTTGGTGAAATTGGTCCTTAGATGAGTTAGGTTAGGTATATATTTATATTTATATAAATAGAAATTAGATTCGCGTATATTAAATTATTAAAATGGAAAAAAAAGCTATTAGAAAAAGAAGAAATTGAGATTTTTGTTTAGCATGGTTAGATGAGGATAGTTTTAAATGTTATATTTAATATATATTAGTATACACTACACCATTTATAAGTTTGGAACTTACGATTTGCTCTTGCATTTCATGAAAAGGTTAAATTTCTCGATGAAAAAACTCGCAGAAAAGTTTCCCCAAAAAATATATTTTAAAGAAGAGAGATAGAGCTTAATATTTGTTTTTTATTTTCTTCTCTATGATATTTTGTGCTTAATTGAAAATTGACATATACAAATATATTATTAAATTTATTATTAAGTTTTAAATATCTTGTATTATATATATAGTATATGTAATTTATGTACTATATATTTATATGTAGATATATTTATATGCAAATATATATTAATACATACATACATTATGTATGTTACATTGTACATTTTTAGCAAATTTTTAAATAATTTGAAGGGGGTGAATAACGGTACATCTTTTCGTCCGTGCTAGTTATTGTACTGATATCATTCTCGCCGCGCATGCGCGAAAAAGGGCCCCGAGCGGAACACTGGCCTGGCGGGACCTCGCTGGGCCCGCGTGCCTGCGCGCCGGGGTTGCAAGCCCTGATCGCTGCTCAACCCTTCGCGAGCGCTGCGCCCGACTTGGCGCCCCGCGCGTTTGCCTCTATCCTCCGGCGGTGGTATTTTGAATGCTGTGAGTCTGGCTGACCAGGCCACGACTCCGGGACCGGTACTTCGACAGCCAGGCTGGTCGGGCCGTGGCTTGTCGACCGGTGGCAGAACTCTGTGGGCGATGGCTTATTTCTCAACGGGGACCTTCGTCGGGGCGTCTCCAGGAGGGAGATCCGTTTTCTTTGTCACGTCACACTTTTTATCGCGACGCATAAAATTATAAATAGAATTTTATGGATATCTAATTCTTGAATTGCAACAGAAGTTACACATAGTAAACGTGTTATTAAAAGTAAAAATAACTGAGATAATGGGAGCTCATTGCTTCGTGTATATAAAACAATTGATAAATATATTTTTAATTTCTATTACGCAATTAAATATTTATCATGCACCTCTTTAACGCGCGTTATCTCGCAACGGAAAATTTACGTGATAACTGTCCGTGATAACAGTCCGTGATAGCGGATATTTCTGATACTGTTAATTTAGTACTTTAATTTTATTAGCTTTATTCTTATATCTATTATAAGCAAAGTATTTGACTGTAAATTGCCGCTTTACTTGCATTTTGTTCTAAATAAATATTTACTGAGCTTTTATGAAAATAGTATAACACCATTTTGGCTTCTTACCCGCAACATGAAGCGAGTGTACGACGTGCGAATTATGAGATTATATAGAGGATTTATGTAACACGTCTGCAGAAACAGGCGCGAATCCGGTAATCCGAAACTGTACACTCGTAATCCCGGTACTCTCAACTCGTTATCCTTTATCCTCGTTATCTTCGTTATCACAATCAGGATGAAGTCACGAGGTTCGATCTGAGAGAAGAGAGAGAGAGAGAGAGCATTCTCCTGCGCGGCGGAGAAGAATTCCGTAGGTCGAATCGAACGAAAGCGGGCGTAACCGCGGTGTCGTAAAACGGAAGCCATAAATATCTCTACCAGGAAGCGATTTAATGCGGACATAGAGCACACGTGCAAGGGTGCGGTCGACATATTTATTCTCAACGGGAGTCCCTTAAAGAATCTAGATGATGGAAGGCGCCGTCGAAGGCGAGACGCACCTTTTTGTCGATTACAGACATAATATACATGTAAGGTGTAAAGTTCATATACCTAGCGTCCGAGCAAAATCTAAAATCGTTCACAAAGCGCGAAACAGCGGAGAGAGGTTAACAGAGAATTTTGCATAGAGTTGTTTTGGACATTATTTTATCGCAATTTCTGTGTAATAAGCAGCGCGAGTTAATTGGTAAATTTAATTGGTAATTAATTCAACCGGCAAACGCGTGCTTATGGCAAAATTTCGATCTGTGTAATTCGCTGTCTTTAATCCGTAAATGGCAAAAGATTAATATTTCGATCTGTATTAACAAGTTTATCTATATTAACAAGTTAATTAAGTTAATCAGGATCAACAATCAAGTTTACGAAAGAGATCCCTTATGTAGCAATGACATTCATTTCGGCGTCGTGCGAAAATATTGTTCGATAAAATTCCTAAAAAGTTTCGCCGATACGCATCGAATATACGAGTTTGCTTTTAGGAAGTAAAGCTACGCGTATTTGCTCTCAGCTGCCGTTGACGCAATTAAGATCCCCTTCATACGGGCGACCGCGAAATTTGATTATACCCGTGCGAGGAGGACCTAAAGCGACACCCTCGTGCGCTTCCAATCCAAATGACATGTTTATGAAGATCGAACGTCAAGTGTGCACGAAATTACGGATCTCGTTGAAACTGCGTGGGTATGTTTCCGCATCTCAGATAACGAGATTTTCTACTCTACCATGTGACGAATCACTTTATGATTCTAAGGATAGAATCTTGTATTTTGTCAAGAAAGAGAGAGAGAGAGTAGTTTTTTATACAAAAAGTATAAGAAGTGACAGCTTTTATTTATTAAAAGTAAATTAATTATTATCCGTAAAATCCATATTAAAATTTTCCATTTAGTTTTTAATATTTTATCTCTTCAATTATCTAGATTACCTTGGTTCGTTTCGTTTTTTAGACCATTTTAATATTATTTTAAAATTATAAAGAAATTCGTCTCTAGAGAAATTACTCTTGACGTTCTAAGTATTCTCGACATTTTAGGAATAAATTAATGTAGAAATAAACTAAAGGGCAGAGAGAAGAGGAGAGAGGAGAGAGAGAGAAAGAGAGAGAGAGGGGAGAACTGTTTTAAAAGTCATTTATATACCGTGGGATCTACTCTTCTTTGTTTGTCGAGACAACATATTAAAAGATAATGCTCTGTCGTCACGGGGTTTACTTTCCACTTTGTAAGAAATAATAGCGTTATTTAAACAAAAAAAAAATTGGGGGTGAAGATATTTGACATATACAAAGCTTTCATAAAATACCCACTTAGAAATTCTTAAAACAACATCTGCCTAAATTGGTTTGAGACATAACGATATCAATTAATTCTTGACGTGATGATTGCGGTTAAAGTGTTAATCATAATATTATTAGCTTATATACGTAATGACTGTCCGAGAAAAAAAATGGATATAATATGGTCAGATGTAAAAATATGTTATTAGATATGAAAAGGTCTAAATTAGATATGAAAAGATTTAATTTTATATGAATTTTATATGATTATATATAATCAAATCCGGGCGTGATATGATCATATCTTTATGTAATCATATTCGACTTGGTTTTATTGCATATGACAACAGATACATCTGTTACATATTGTTACATCTGACCATATTATACCCATTTTTTTTCTCGGCTGCGGCTATAATGTATGACTTAAATTTATTGTTAATTAAATTCTTTGCGCTAAAGATGATCCCAAGAAAGAGTCGAAACGTACGCTATATATCGTCTTATTAAACTAATATAATAAATTTATAAGAGCGCATTAATTACCGCGCTTGGCTCTTATTGCCAAATTTAACTAGATTTGATTTTTCATGAAATAACATTTCACTTTGTAAAAAATATATAGAGAAATTAAATCGTTGCGTATTTCGCAAAACAGATCTCTTTCAAAGAAATATTAATATTAGTAACACTTATGTAAATTTATACATTTAAAATGTATAAAATAAATGTATTTTTATATATAATTACGTTTATTTACATTTATTTCTACTTTCTTTTTAGAGCCTTAATTTTCATCATAAATGTAAATGTATATTTATTGCAATTTGTCACATTAAAAGGAAATCAAGAATATTAGAAAGAAATTTGGGTAAGATTTTTTTTCGGATTTAATTCTTTTGTAATTTGTAAAGAGTTGTATATTTATACATTTTACTAATTTCTTTGAAAACGTATCTTTTTTATCTTATTTATCATTTTCAGTGATTTTATTATACGCACACAGGTAATTGGCACTTCGAGAGAGAAAGAAAGAGAGACAGAGAGAGAGAGAGAGAGAGAGAGAGAAAGCGAAAAAGATTACTTATCTTATTTTTATCACTTCAACTTACTTGAAGTGATTTCAAGTGGCGCAAGATATTTCAAAAGTTCAAGACGAAAACTTATTTCATACAGCCGTATAAAATACGCAAAAGAAATAGACTGAGTGCATCGAGGAAGGCAGCACGGAAAGATAGAAATAATAATTGTTCATCTTATTCTTTAAAAGAGAAAGACAGACATTAAGTTTGTTATACGTCTCGATCTTTTTCGTCTTCGTAATACGGATATCAACTTACTTTCCGACGGTCACATTTGGATCGTGCAGCTGGTAGAGGTCTACGAAGGTTTTGCTGTCGTTAAAAATTCCAGCGAGCTGCACCGTATGCAACAGCGGCCCTTCGCAGTAAACTTGGCTGAAAATCAATACAAAAGCGTAACGAAACCTATAATTAACAAACATCGTCAATTACATAAAAATGATTAATTTAACGTTTGTTTGTACGCGACGTTTGCAGTACGTGATGCAGTGTGCGTTCGACAGGTGGATAACGTTAAATTAACAGATTTTGTCAAAGTGCATTTGATGTAATTGTGTCAACGTAATTGCGGATAGCGGCAAACAGTTGTTGTCATTGAAAAAAAAAAAAACAATGCACAAGACATCCCGGAGGGGAATTAACGTAAAATCATTACGTCATGCACAACGGCTAACGGATTTATTTTGCGGCTACGAATAATTACGGGATAACTTAGCGTCAAGAAACAAACACCTTTGATTAATTAAGACCAAAAGAATGAATAAATAATAAAACTTTGCCTTTCAAATGTGCCGTGCGCATGGTACGGGGTCTCGCTGTTGTAGGTTGAAAATAACACTTTAATGAATTCATGCGCTCTTTATTTGCCGTCCGGACGGATTGGATACTTAAACAAACGCATATAGTCTTTGCGTTCGCAAATTAGATGTCAAACTAATTTTGAATGATTTAAGACCTGGAGGCATGGAACGCATGAATTAACTTTTTACTTTTAAATTACGAGGCTTAGTTTTTTATCACGTTATTTAACCTCAATGAAACAAACGTGAGAAGAAAAGAACATATTTACATATTTTACATTTATCACGTACATATTTACATTTATTACGTACATATTTACATTTATTTATTTTATGTTACGAAACGTATATGAAATTAAACCCGATATTATTTTTCAAAAGGGTATCTCACACACAACTTACGTACATTTTCCGTTTTACTACGCTTTGTTATAAACTAAGTAAGTAGATAAAACTAAATGTGAAAACTTTCTCCTCTACACATATTGAAAAAAATTAATCCGGTGGTTTAATATTGAAAATAATAAACTTTCGTAAGAATATTATATTCAAGCCAGTTTTCCCCGCGAAATTATTAAAATGTGCGTCGTAATGAAATTTGCAGTTAAAAAGTTATCCGATTGATGTGGAGTGTTCTTACACATTCTCTCTTACTGTTCTTTAGGAAAGTTTTCCAATCAGCTGTTTTATCTTAAGATACCAAATGTCGATATTTTCCAACGATGACCAAGGGCCTGTCCCAACAATTTCAAGATGGACGACAACTTTAAGTGAAACTTGGACGAGACTGTTATTTTTCCGCGACAGCCACGTCAACGGGCTGATGTCATTCTGAAACCGACGAGCCATAAAATCAAGCACAAAAATCACGCGCGTTTCGAAAGTCGCGATGAGAAGTTACTCGTAGCTTCATTGCGTGGCTCATTGTTTTCTGGCAGATACGAGAACATACAATCGAAATACAATAAACGCCTTTGTCTTTGTATCAACAAGAAATAACGTCAATGTGCGCCGAGAGACCACTTTTTATTTTTCACTTCGAGCATTTCTCATCGAACGTTCTCTGATCGAAAAACCAAACGAGAACTCGGGGAATAATAAAATTTGTTTTCTTTTTTTTGTCGTCGGATAAATTCTTTTTAACATTTGATATATGACACTAATTTGATGATAACACTAATTTTCAATGCAGACTCGAAGATTTGTATAGCATAAGAATATCGAGGTCCGCTATACCAAAATAGGAAACAAACTTAAGACTTTGAAATGTTCTTTTAAGACAAAAAGATAGAAATCTAAGAATTTTAGAAACCACTTGCATAATATTTATTAAACTAAATTTAAATAATCCAATAATATTTACGTATATACTTATGATTTTGATAGATTTTGTACAGAATCCGGCGTTGTGACATAAATTTTACTTTTCCAGCGTCCCTAAAGAAAAGAATTTAATGGAGGAAAATCAGAACATCTTGTAAGCCGCTCAATCGGATCTTCTTCAAAAGATAGTGGATGAATGTCGCGGAATAACGCCGGAAATGTTTTAAAATCCATAACAACTTTAAATAAAGACTTTATTATTGAATAAAGACTGATGGAGGACATTCTGAACATTTATTAAAGTAAATTTTTCTGTAAATTGCGAACTTTCAGTTTTACTACCTGGAGACTTCTAAATGCGATTTCTCGAGAAACACTCACCTAAATTTAAAATAAAATAAAAAACAAGACATAGTTGTAAAGATAATTAAAAGAAACCTTAAAAACGATGTTTTACTTGATATTTTGAATAGGCACTCCCAGTGCCTTTTAAGATTTTTAAAAGAGTAGCTAATCTAATTAAAGAGGGATAATGAAGAGGTGAAAAAAAAGCACGGTTAAGTTTATCACAATTTACCTTAAAAGTAAATTTGGTATGTTTCGACATAATTTGCAGAAATAAGTCGGTTATAAAAAAAAAACGAGGTGGAAAATTGTTGTTAGCTCATCTTGCATATATGTATGTACCTACATTCATATGTATAAATATGTCTATTTATAGAGTGTTCCAGATTTTAACGATCAAACTGCGCCAGTGTACAGTAACTTTTTAATAAAGCTCCTACCTTTACATAACATTATTTCTTATTTTTACATAGTGCACTCTGGTAATCGTTAAAATCTGGGACACTTTGTATAAGAGAAATAAAGTATACCGACTGGCCATTCCTTCGCTGTAACTAACTCTAGATCGTTAATAGATAAGCAGCGCTTAATTTATCCTGTATAAATACTTTCCAGATACTTCGAAAGTGTTTCTAATTAAAAAAGTTGACTCTAACAATATTCTTTAATTGATTATCCGCTGCAGTGTATTCAGTGGACGCGTTTCACTTTTAATTTATTCGCATTAATCGTCTAAACTGAACGAAAGTCTCAAGTGGCCTGTTTCCTTTATCATAAAATGGCCTCATTATTTCTATGAAAATGCTGTTAATATCCGCTCCCATTTCCTTCTATGTGATTCATGTTGATAATCACTAAAGTGAATCTTATCGATACGTCTTAACCCTATCGCGTGTGCTTAGTTTCCCAATGAATTGAATGGTGACGGTGTCCATATAGCTGCACATCGTAGAACCTTATCGGATTAAAGGATATACGAAGAATCGAGAGGAGTCGAGAGTTTCCCTCAAGAAGAACTGCGATATATATGAGAGAGAGAGAGAGAACTAAAAGTAGTAAATCCGTAATTCTCACTTTTCTCGCAAACAGACCGTACGGACAGAGACTGCTCGAACGTTTTCCAAAGGGATAAAACACCATTAACGGACGCCTCATGTTTCCCTCCTCGTGAGTGAGCGGAAAAGAAATTTTGGTTACGTGTCTAGAATAAAACTTTAATGAATCGGAAAATTTCGTGCTTGGTCCTGACGTTGCTGGAAAAATAACTGGCCATCGTCCAGTTTTCTCTCTGAAGTTTGTTTCCTATAAATGCAAAAGATTGATTTCATCCATCCACGTCGACTGAATCCTGTTTCTCTGTTGGATATGTTTCAAGCATTCATTCTTTTGTTATTATTAAAATAGTATGTTTGTTTGAAAATTATTGTTTTCAATATTTCTTCGGTTGTAGTTACTGATACAGTCCAAGAAAAGGCTGTTAAACTGTAGTTACAGTTAATCGACGTTGATGAAGAAAGAAACGTGAGGTATATCCATGATGAAAAATTATATTGTCATTAACTATCGATGAGTCATCAATAAACCATACGCGGAAGGTTTCACCTAACCGAAAGAAAGTGAAACAAATGACTTTCGCTCGCGGCTCTATCGATCATTAGAATTGACGGCGACGTGATGATGTGATGCACGCCTACCAAGCGCGAATATATATACTTATGCGAACGTTATCAGGTTACTAGCAGAGATAAGCCGTTATCGTCGCTCATTTTCCGGAATGATTTTATTCGACATGAAATGTGATTAGAGAGGGAGAGGAGAGAGGGAACGAGGGGGAGAGCATTATCACCAGAAGGCAAAGATATTAAAAATGTTAAAATGCATATATATATGTGTGTGTGTGTGTGTGTGTGTGTGTGTGTGTGTGTGTGTGTGTGT